TCTCTCTCTCTCTCTCTCTCTCTCTCTCTCTCTCTCTCTCTCTCTCTCCACATCACCATGCCCTCCACCAGTGAGCTTCGGAAGTGCCTCCTGGCAGGTCCGCAAACTTAACCCCGCAGGCAGGTTCTCTCAAACCGTCGGTCCCACAAAAGGGTCTTACGGCCGGAAACGTGATTTTCCAACCCCCATGGGTTTTTTATTTTTTTTTATTTCTTCAAAAAACCGAAAAAAAAAAATCGGCAGCGCGGGGGAGGTCCCGACTGCCAGGGGCACCCCCCCCATGCCACCGAAACGGAGTTGCCCCCCCCCCCCCCTTGGCACGGTGCTCTTTGGCGGGGGCCACTTTACCCCATCGAACTGGAGGTAGGATGGGGGTAGGGCGGAGGTAGGACGCCGCTCTAAGGTTAGAGCGGGGACCTCCCGTTCTACCCTCCGCCAGACACTCAGCCCGCAGCAAAGCCTGTTTTCCTTTGTATTATACAATTAGTCAAAGACTCACTCAAAAACATCACACGAAGAAAGTAGAAAAGAGCAACCTCGGAGATTGTCATGCAAGCAAATCTAGTGTAAAAAGATCCTGAAAGGCTCAAACCGCTGCCTTTTGCAACAAACAAGCAAACCCCTACTTTTTCTTTTTTTCTTCTTTTTCTTTTTTTCTTCTTTTTCTTTTTGACCCCGGCTGGGCAACTGATCCTCGGCCAGTCTGGTATCCTAGTTTTTTCACTTTTTTGAAGGTTTTCGGATTTTTTTCCTATATCAGTGAAATGATCGATTATGGTTTTTTAACTTCTTCCTATCTGTGCAGTGATCCAGTTAAGCCATCCAGCAACGATCTATGCATCATCATGTGAGTGAAATGGCCCATACCCGAAGCTCTGCTGCATTCAGAGAGATCCTCAATCTGTCCATAAGAGCCTGAAGATCGGCCAAGAGTTGTCCGACTGTTCCCTGATACGAGCCGTGCACCTGGGTACCATCCGGAAGCAGGAAATGGCTGAACAGCCTATAACAATATTTTGCATGTACATGTGCCTGCCAAGAGTTCCATCATCACAGCGCATCAGCAGAGACGGTGAGGTGGACTGTTAAGTCAAACATGTTTCCCTCCTCCAACCCCACCCAATCTCCTCTAAGTCCCTTCTCACTGATTCTCAGACCCAAAGTTTCCAGTTACTTTAACAGAGAAGAAGGCCACCTGTTGCAGCTTCACCCGCAAAACACAAAAAGAAAAAGCATAATGAACTGTCCCATCATCAGACGAAATTTGTTTTCACTGTGAGTTTTGTGTTTGGGCCCGGGCTACCAGACCCACACGGGCTCGGCCGCCCAGCCGTGCAGCTGGCCCAGTGCGACTCGGACGCTCTGACCCGGGTCACCCGGGTGAACAAAAACATAGTCAAAGATTCCGACTCTGAGTTTGCTTGCTGTCCTTAATGAATATGTTTGTCATCAACCAATCTTGTATGTATGCCATGTGCTTACTTGTTGAGTTTTGACTCTGTCTGTGTGTGCAAGTGGATGCGTGTGTCAATCTCAGCTTGGTGCATGTGTGTCGTTCAATAATGCTTGACGATCGGCCCGGGGAATTTGTCAGAGGTTGTCTTCAATAATACGAGTGCCACTGATATTGAGCAGGTGTTGTAATGTATGATTAACATAAGCAGCATCCAATCTGCTTGGCAGTTGCTGTTCGCGAGGGGAGTTCTTGGAAGTAGCGTGTCATGTGAGCCATAATGCCGGGCGCAGTGGGCGTGCATCTTGGAGCATTTCCTGGTTTGCCAAAGCCAAAGACAAAACCGAGCAGCACATGTCAGCATCATATAATTAACAGCCTGGCAGAATCTCTCTCTCTCTCTCTCTCTCTCTCT